ATTCCTAGACAAGCTCCAGCCCCCAGGCCCTGCTTAGAATATCGCATTCCAGAGTTTTCCCTGTTTTGGGAATACCTAGTAGGTAGTGTGACAGGGGATGTGCCTTATTCCACAGCTCAAAGGCGAGGCAAATGCATGTTGAAGAATTCCCTATCTACTGAGGATTCACATTAAAGTTTAGCATTATCTGGTTAACAAAACTGATAGTTCATAAAGTTTTTAGAATAAAAATTCTCTCATAAAAATGTTTCATTGTCATGTGCCTGTAGAAATAATAGAAACCATCTAAAACAGTATAAAAGCAATGTTTGAACTTAAAAGTAATATTGTTATGTACTGTTACGAACTGTGACTGAACCACATGCATTTAAAAGTACGTTAGACTAAAATTTGATTACTGACCGACCTGTGAGACCAGTTTGGGCATGGGCGTTTTTAGTGAGATTCGTTCATGTTTTAATCTTTCCTTCCATCCTTTTCCTTTTTGTGTTTCCTGAGGAATAATTTACAGCCACGTAGCATATGTCAAAGAATTCTATAAACTTTTCCGAATTCTTATTTTTATGAAAAGTAGTAAGTTTATCAAACGAGCAGATGATGAACTAGAGGCAGGTCAAGCTATGTTGGCATGCAACAAGTTTGTGTTCTTGCTGTCTGCCCTTTCTGCGTGCTATAAAAAAAAATGTATTAGACAAAGAGCTTTCAGTGGGTTGCCATTGCTACAGCAACCGCTTCCTGTCTATGCGTTTGAACCAATGACTTGTTGAGAGTTTGTCGTTTGGGTAGTAGAAGGCTGTGGGGTAGCAGGAAAGGAAGCAATGATATCTTTTTAACTGTATTTTTAGACTATGGTGAGGGTTTTTTTTGTTTAGCTTTTGGGGGGGAGGGTGTTTGTTGGGTTTTTTTTTTTTTTTCAATTATTGAGGTCTACAGCAGAACGCTCGAGATTAATTCTCTGACTTTTGTACAAAACCAGCTTTTTCGAATCTGTATTCATTTCAAGTCGTTGAGATACATGTTTTTCATTTTAGACATGTGTCTTTGATAGCAGATTACAGCCCAGAGTACTTGCAGAAACTGTAATCGCATGACTATCACAGAGCACTGTGCTGTGTGGTATGAGGGACCAGAGGAAGAAAACCAGGTTCTCTATAAAGAGGTCTTATCTATTTATACATTTTGTTGTTACGGTTTTCAGCTTTATTCCCTGGTGCTACTGTACTCCATGAACTCTTATGCCCAAAGGATACGTTCCAAATGACGCAGCTGGCTCTAACTAATGAGGAAGTGGTTAACTTTGGAGTAGAAAGTGCAGAAAAGCTGTTTGTTCGCTTACGTACAAAGCTCTCTGGAGTCAACAGGAGAGTGTTTCCATTGAACTCAACAGGATCTGTTCCAGCCTAAGCGGTCTTTTGGAAACTTCTCTGCAGCAGAAAGTTTGAACACCAAAGAAAATTCTTTGTGGTGGAAAGAAAGATATTCCCACTCAAAAGTATTGCAAAATTGTCTTATCTGTTACTTGTAGTTTACAAGCTACTTCAGAAGAGTGCACAGCTGTCCTGGTTTTGGCTGGGGTAGAGTTAATTTTCTTCCCAGTAGCTGGCATAGTGCTGTGGTTTGGATTTAGTATGAGAATAATGCTGATAACACACTGATGTTTCAGTTGTTACTAAGTAGTGCTTACACTACTCAAGGCCTTTTCAGCTTCCCATGCTCTGCCAGGTGCACAAGAAGCTGGGAGGGGGCACAGCCAGCACAGCTGACCCAAACTGGCCCAGGGGCTGTTCCATACCATATGGCGTCACGCCCAGTACAGAAACTGGGGGGAGACGGCTGGGGGGCAGCGGTCACTGCTTGGGGACAGGCTGGGTGTCGGTCGGCGGGTGGTGAGCAATTGCATTGGGCATCACTTGCTTTGTATTATATTACTATTATTATTATTTACCCTTCCTTTTCTGTCCTATTAAACTGTCTTTATCTCAACCCACGAATTTTACTTTTTTTTTTCTGATTCTCTCCCCCAACCCACTGGGGAGCGGGAGAGTGAGCAAACGGCGTGTGGTGTTTAGCTGCCAGCCGGGTTAAACAACAGCAGCCCAGCACAGAACCAGGAGCTGCTCATTCTGTCGCTGGTGATCATTACTGCTATTGCTGATATCCAGCAGAGGTAGGGCAGGATTATCTGTCCTAGAAGAGTTTTTAGTTCTCTGGTACATTGTCAAGGCTCCATTTGTAGCATTGGATTCTCCTCCATGCTGCATATCTCCACTGATAAATTGCCAGCTATGACCTACAGCTCCTGTATAACAAGACTGTAAGTATTTCTGCAGAATATAGAGATATTTATTTGCTGTATAAGCTTGAGAAATTATATCCCATTTAACCCAAGCATTATCATTTTAACTCTTAGTATGGGTAACTTCCTTAGAGAAAGGTAATTACCTTTCTGTGTGTATGCTTATAATGATGTATTTTGACCATGTGAAGTTTTGAGCGATTATGTTTGGACCCTTATAAATGTTTGAGTTTTTAATGAAATTGCTGTAAGTTGGTTTGCAGTCCTTCAATTTACTGGATTCATCAGAATAATTATGTTGTATTATTTATAATGTATTATGGCAGAGAGTATGCATTATTTTGATATCGGCTTTAAAATTTTCACTGGCATTCTGCAGATATGATAATTAAAAGTGCATGTGAAAGAATATTGCATTTGAGATTTAGGTAGCAGGACTTTTAAAATTCATGCACTATAAAGATACAACGTGTTTTAAAAGGTTTTATTTCTCTAATCTTCATAAGTAGGATGAACCCGTGTAATCCTTCTGTATTGGTTAAGATCTGCAGATTTGTTGTAGTTTTCTGTACCTCCACTCTGTCCTGTTTCCAAGTTCTGTTCCAGAGGAGATGCTGGTTGTGTTTGTAATGTTCTAGGCTTTCCTTACAGGATTGTTTGGGATCTGACACTGGTCAGTAAAAACAGACAAGCAGTGGTAGAATGCTTAATGGTGTGACACCATCTGTCAAAAACATTTGGAGACCATATAGCTTCACATTTCTGGATTATGATAAAATTGAATTAAGCCTATAGAGTCCCATGGCAGTAATTCTTTGCCTTCATCCTTCCTTTATTCTACACATGGTATTGAAAGAATGTCTGATCTGGAAGCTTTGGAGCCTGTCAGTTAGTCAGGAATGTGGTCCTTCCTGGAAATTTTACTTACGTAAGAGCTTCCGTTCTCTGTTGTGCTGGAAAGCAGCAATTCTGCTCATCTGTACATTGTAAAAGTACTTGCACCTTCAAGGTGGAAAAGTTGTAAATGAAAGTTCTGTATTCTGTAATTAGTCTAGACAAAGACAAGAGATGGCAGGCACATACTGTTCCGAGCATCCTCACTTCTCCAGCATGTGCGCTCCGCGGATGTCACGGTTGCATTGCGTTCTGCAGCAGGCTCCAGGTTGCTTGCCCGAGAGTTTATTTGGCTGCAGTTTTGATTTTCCATAAGTCAATAGCAAGCAAACAGATTTCTCCCCTAAATGTACTTACCACATTTACTAGACACTTCATGCATGTAAAAAAGGCATCAGTGCAAAAGTAGTAAGTTACTACATTGGAGACTTACTTCAACATGGGGTTTTTTTGTCACTCGCAGATTTATAGAGTAGGTACTTAGTTTGCAAATGTTTGTTCTAAGGAACTAAAATGGAAAAATTGTATCTTCTTTTGGTATTAGTTTTGATATTTCAGTGTATGAAATATTCTGGACTGTGAATATATTATTGTTTCATTGGCAGTAGTGAACAAAATTTCATTTTCTTCTGCGTAAGATATCGGAAGGCAGGTTGGATTTGTCTTGTTCAGCTTGTAAATAGTAAGTACTGAATTCTGATGCTCAGGTTTTTTTCATTTCAATTTGTGTATCCTAAGAAAGTTCTCCTTTTTTTAATACTTATAAGCAGAATTCTGTTGCCTAAAATGCATCATAAGGAACCTGCTTGCCAAACAAAATGTAATTGCAGAACTATTCCCCTCTGTGATTCTGACAAAGTTTATGGAATCCTTTGTAGTCTCTTTGGTGCTTCTAAAGTTAAAGTTTACAGGCAGATTTTTTTCCTGAAAGCATCAAATTCTCTGTACTTGAAAGTTGATGGGTTTGGTATGAGAGAGATTTTTCTAAGTCACAAAAATGAGTAATTACTGAAGAAGAGTAATTAGAGAAAAGTAGCCTGAGGGGAAAGAAGTTCTACTTAAACATTAAGCGAATACCATTAGCCATGCAAAAAGAGAAAAATAATTTCTAGAAGTGTGAATAGATGCACACGTGTTTGGTCCATTTATAGTTAAAGATAACTTAACTCCCAAGTCCATTTCTGCACTCCATTGAATTTTGGAAGGGTCAAAGGATGTATGCAACTGAACACTCCCAACTTAAAGTGAGCTGAATTAAAATAAATATTTTTTTAAAAATCCTGCACATCAGAGAAGTTAAAATAATTTCTAGAAGTGTGAATAGATGCACACGTGTTTGGTCCATTTATAGTTAAAGATAACTTAACTCCCAAGTCCATTTCTGCACTCCATTGAATTTTGGAAGGGTCAAAGGATGTATGCAACTGAACACTCCCAACTTAAAGTGAGCTGAATTAAAATAAATATTTTTTTAAAAATCCTGCACATCAGAGAAGTTAATCTTTTTGTTCAAACTCAGCTTTGTGGCTCGAGCCCTTTGACACGTTGCATTGTCTGGCTGTCCGCAGCATTTCCTTTCTCTAGCCAACAAAAATGTGTTTAATATGCATGGCGCACAGGTTTAGTTTCTTCTCTTCTTCCCCCCAGATCTTGTTTATTTTAATAGAGAAACACATAAGAGTTTTTGCTGTCTGGTTTAATAAAGCAGGCTTCTCGATCACCGTCACTAATTCATGGAGAAGGTTACTTTTCACTGCAAGCAAAACAGATTCATGTGTCATCCTGCATGTAGGGCTAGTGCATGCTGCTGAAGAGGTCGCTGACGGTGATCAAGAAGGAAGCCTACGCTTTTCCATTCTGACTTTTCTTGGAATGTCTGAAATGGAAGTACTATTTTCCTGGAATACCAGGAAATGAGTTTGGGTTACTAAAAAAACTTTAATAACCTCTACAAAAATTATGAAGTTTTACTTCCTTTTACTGCATTCTAAGTTAAAATTTTAAGAGATTTATTAAACAGTTCCCTGAGCTTCAGCCTCCAAATTAACTACAATCTCATGAATGAATTGTGGTTAACAAGTAAAATATGCTTTTGTATTGACTTAGAAAAAAAATCAATAGTATTTGATAGTTATCAAACCGGTTTTGCACTGTAAGGCAAAGTGAATTGTGCCTGAAAGACAATAAGCCGCAATTAAGGCGTGACATATTTGTGGCTTAATCAGAGGCAGGTACTCATAAATAGGGAATAGCAGATGTGAAAAATGTTTCAGTGTGCATTACTGACAGACTGGTTATAAGTGGTTAAGCAACATAGTAAGTCCCTTTTAGCTGTTTTTTCTGGTTTTGTGAACAGAGGACGCTTTAGACAGCCTCCTGAAAATTTATATGCATCCTTTGTAAGAAATGTATGTATATTCCTAAGTCTAAATAATAGAATATTACTGGTATTTATCTAAAAAGCACATAGTAGAAACGGTTGAAAAATTTAACCAGATGACTCACTGCAAAATATTGTTAATAAGGACTGATTCTTAAAAATTGTATGAGCTTGTACACTCAGGATAAACAGCTGGCTTTTTTCAATAGCACAGCTGGTGTAGAAACAAAATTACTACCATTTGAACAGGACATGAGCTATATTTGGCAAAACATTTGCATGAAAGCTGAAAATTTGCAACTTCATTTTCATTTATTTTAATTTTCATTGTACACCTGTTAACCACAGATCTGGACCTGCTCCTGTTGCTTTCAGTATCGCTCATTTAGGTTGTAAGCCATTATGTGCCAGGACGCTGCAAATTTAGAGTAAGCCCTGTTTCTTTAGCTGAAAATACTAGAGGAGGGTACTGTCTTTCTGAACATCCAATATGTTGTTGCTGAACTGCCATTCGTAGGAATTTAAACACGTACAGTATGTTAAGGATGTAATTTTTTCCTTGAAAAGGCAAAGCAAACATGAAAGCAGTAAGAATCGCACTTCGCAGCGTGCAGAAGTCGACTGTTTTCTGCTGCAACTCTTTGTGAGGCTACAAAAGCATGTTCCCATGAATTTGGGCAATACTAAAGAAGACTGCTGATGCAAGTCAGCAGATGTGTAGTGCATTGTGAATCGCAGATGCATGCAGGAATTAATTGAAAGAAGAAATTCAAGTTCAACTCTAAACTTTAACTAGTCAGATTCTTTATATGTTACTAGGGGAAGTGATATTCATACCATTGAATAACTTGTACGGTTTTCTAGGGCCTCAAATCACAACAGCGCATCATATTTACATTCAAATTTTAGGACCTAGATGTTTATAGTTGTTATTATAGCCTTCCTGATAAAGCTTGCTATAGAGCTTGTTCATCTGACTGGTTTTTTAAATGAAATTCCTTTAAACTATTCACTGTATGATAGTTCAGAAAGTACTGTTGCCTTCCTGACAGCTTATTCTGTGTTTTCCTGTCTTAGCTTTAATTTAGTCTAAGGATTACTAGACGGGCAAATTATTACACAGGCGAGGTTGGTTCCTTCATTTCTACTGTGGTGAAGCAATGGACATCCTGTAATAGGGACAGCGGTTTTTGCCAGAAATTGAATCTTTACTGTTCAATTGGTGTTGCAAGTTTTACAGAGATTACTGTCCTGAGCAGTAACAGCATTAATCACCTAAAATCGTCTATAGACAAAATAACCCTTTGAAATATTTAACATGAATTCTCTTGCACCTGTTATTTCTCCCACTGGTTGGTAGTGAATACCGTCTTGATTTCTTACGTGGCTTCTCTTTCTTCTGTGCACATTTTTCTTATTGCTGGGTTTTCCTGTGTTGCCTTGTTGTTCAATTCAGATGCTTCCTACAACTGATTTGCAAGACAGACTACCCCTCTAATATGTTCCAACCCCAAAATAAAATGACACTTGGAAATATGGCACTCGCTTAGCTGTGGCACCTCATTAATAATCTGTAATTACCTGAGGTCAGTCGTGTAGATTTTTGGTGGTATTCCTTCTTGTAACGACTCAATCCTTCTGCTGTTTCAGAAGGTTGGTTGATCTTGTGAATAGGTAAAAATAGATTTGCTTTTGAAGACAGTAATTTAGAAAGCTACCTTTGCTTCTGGAGCTACTTTCTCGTATTTATGCCTCAGGGACAGCCATTTTAAACTAACAGTTCATAAAAACTTCTTTGCACTTAGGATATTTCTACATGGCAAAGAGAATGCAGTGCAAAGGTGCCTATTTTGCTCTAAACACCTTAGTTTAGAAACTAGAAGTCTACAGTCTAAAACTAATGTATTAGCCTAGACTCCACACTGTTACTCAGCCAGGCTAAAGGAGATTTAATATCAATTCAGTGGGAGTCCGGGTATCTCTGCAAGGCGCTGCACTGGGCTATAAACAGACCCTTTCTGCGTCCTCTGTTTACTGTTCAGCTTTCCTTGCAGATTTTCCCAGCAGTCAAAACCAGCACTACTCTTTTCACATGACCCTAGCCCACAATGTAGTTCTTTTACCAGGAAAATCACTATTTTAGAAATATAAAGTGCTACTTTCACACTGGTAAGTTATGCTACATAAGAGAGACTGCCATGTTCAAATTTACAGTGAGTTTATTTTCTTCCTGCACATGGCTATTTAGGCAAAGAGAATGATTATTTCAGTGGCAAAAAGTTGTCTAACTCTGCAATGATTACAAGTCTAACTTCCCTCCATAGCAATGTCCTGCAGTGAAACCTTGAGGTGGTGGTTAATGCGTACTCTCAGGCAAGAGAGATATTCGCTTCTATTGTCGGCCAGGTAGTAGCTCTGAGAGCCAGAAATCCAATTGAAAGAAAAACAAACCAAACAAAACCCTAATTCAGAAAGCAAGCCAAGTAGGAGCCAATGCAAATCCCCCGGTACATGGAACATCAAATACCAGCACATTGTACATTCCTCTGCGCTAGTTAAAACCAATCTAGGAACGCTAAGGAAAACAAATCACCTTGTCAGAACCTGGAGCTCGTGTCATGGAAAAGATTTTCTTAAATTATTCTTAATAGCTATGAATCATCATCTGCACAAGTAGGGGGATCAGAAGGCAGAGCCGTGGTGCTCCGTCAGCCAGCGTTATAATTGCCCACAGGCGAGGGCTCTGCTTGAACCTCCAGATGAGCGCGGGGATGCATTCGGCTTCAGCCGTTTCAGAAGGCAGACAATGATGTCTAATAACCGTAACAACAGGAAGGATTTATAGTCAGTGAGTGAGATAAGAGAAACCACTTCTGTTTAAGTAACTGCTGTTTAGAATTTTTAAAAAATTACAGGTGTGTCTTGTGGTAAAAGCACTGAGCTGGAAATCACTAGATCGAGGTTAAATGCCCTGTTGTATCACAGACATCTTGTTTAAGGTTGAGGTACTAATTTAATTTCCATTTCAATTACTCAAATATAAAATAAGGATAATGCTTTCTTTGCCCGTCTTCAATATCTAACTGTAAACTTTCCATATTTATGGCGGTGTGTGGCTTAGGTCTTGATCGAGACCTGAAAAAAGCGCTTTCTAACATCAGAACAAAATACACGATGGGAAACTTCAGTGCATCCTCCTAAACACAGACAGTTACTCAAGCAAGTACGTTTTCAAACAAGTTATTCCAGACATAAAATACCTCTAAAGCTGCTGTTAGGAGATTGCTTGGAGTGACAGGCTGTGCATGTTTAGACAAGTAACTTACCTGGAGATCACCAGGCTTGTCTCACGGTGGTACTTTGAGGAATAATGGGAACTTGTTTTAAGTCATTCTAAACATGGAAATTATTATACAAGTGCTGAATAATATTCCTATTAATCTTTTTAGTAAAAAAAAATGGCCTGAAATGAAGTCTTGGAACACATTCACCCAGGAGCACCCAAAGAGTCTTCCAAGGACTATACCTTGAAAACAAATCAGAAACATATCAGTCAGTTTTCAGATTGTTTTCTATTAATGAGACAGCATTCTACAAATCAAAATTCCTTAATCAAATTGCTACTGTTTTGCCATAAGCAATGTCCTTGGATTCAGTGTAGCTAGACAGATACAACTGACGATGAAGTTGATTCATTATCTTTTCTTGCTAGAAGTAAAGCTTTAATCAAATGAAGTCATTGACAAAACACCTATTGCCATCAGTGGAGGCAGGATTGTGCCCTTTATGGCTGCCTCTACAGACGAGCACATTTGTGCGCAAGTACAGATCTGTTTCAGTTTAGTTGTTGCTGGTTGTCTTCTTTTTTTTCTGTTTTACCTTTGCAATTTTCTGAGGACAGGACTAGAAGCCACTGGCATGTTTTAACATGAATCACTGTGTGAGAAATACTTTCCATTGTCAAAATGCAGTGTGCCGAACAATGATTATCTTTAATAGGTATAAAAGACACTCGGCATCTTCTGGACTCCAGCTTCTAGCTGCAGGGAGGGATCTCACTACCGACTTGGAACGATAAATTGCATAAATTGAAATGGCAGCACCATCCCTGATGGTTTAGTCTAGTTATAGAAAAGTAAATGTAGATGAAGGGGTTCAACAGGTCTTTTGAATATGAGAATTGCCATATAAGATGAAGCCAATGATAAATCTGTTACATTTTCTATGAGCATTCAGATAAGAACTTCAAGGAATGGTGTAAAAAATTCAGATTATGGATAGCTTTGGCATAATTTCTCCTTTGACGGAATGTTACTTTTTGCATTCCACATGAAGTTTGAAAGGTTGTACTCTAAGACTAGTATTAGCTCAAAAACTGAGCAATAGTTGGTCAGGCTGAAAAAAATTCAGACATGTTTCTGCAAGGATTTCTTGTGCAAAGACGATAGGAGTTCTACAAGATGTGTAGGGTGGACACACACACCACTTTTGTTTCTTACCCCCCCGGTCTCAAGAACACCAAACAAGTGGTTTTTTTTTTTTTTTTTTAAACAAAATCAGATTGACCATCATTATGCTGTTGCTAACATAAACCTTGTTTCTTGTATGACTAAACTCCCAATAGGCAAACACCATCTGCCTGCTGAAGGAAAAGAGAAGTCACCACTGAGAGAATGTCTAACTCATTAGGAGTTGAGAAACATCAAGTCTACTACAAAAGCTATGGAACAATACCCTTAGCAATCTCAAACTCCACATTCAGTGCGTTGGTTTGTTGAAGTTCTTCCTTTGATATTGAAGATTTTTTCCCCTATTAAACTAAAGAGTTTTCAAACAAAGAGCTTTTCTCCAGAACCAAATTCAGATCAGGTGCTACTGTGTGAAACTTTACTAATTTCCTTGAAATAGTATATGGTCTTGGAAAATTCTCTTACAGCTAAAAACACGGAAATTCATGTTGTGATAGAGCAACATAAATAATAGTGGCACATTGGTTTACCCTTGCAGGAACAATGAGTATTGTTTACTGATGTAAAATGTTTCTTAAGTGATATTTCTCCACAATATCAATAGGAAACTTAGAAAAAGCTGTGACTTTTTTTTTTCAGGCATTTAAATTTCGTCAAGTTCTAAAAGACACATCTTTGCTTTGGATTTTATTCATGTAAATATAAACATACACTTTTAAAAAAGTTATTTTATCTGAAATGATAGTTGTGTACTCTCTGGTTTAGTAAAGTACTATAATTTCGGAAGTTAACTCTTTTTTCATCCTGCTTTAGAACGATACTAGAATTTTAAAACCCAGACAAAACCAAATGAATAGCGCACAAAGGAGCTAAGTTAGCTACTTTGACGTATGTGTAAAAGTATGCTTCTTTTGCAGAACACAGCTGCTTTCTAGCAGGACTGCACAGTCATGTCAATAGTTATGAAAGGTGGATATTTCCACGTGACTGGTGTCGGATCCATAGGTATGGAAAGTCATCGCCTGGGGAGAGGCGAGTAGCAGTAGGATTCCTGTAGAAGAGCTGTCCAGTGCCAGCTGTGGTGCCTTCTGTTTTCTTCTGCATCTCTCAAGCGAGAAGCGCCATGCTGAGCTGCCCTGGATATCTTCTGTGAGATCTTAGGTATAATTGGAGTGTGTGTGATTTTGAGTCTCATCAGAGAAGCAGGATCTTTCTTTAAGCACTGACTAATGGTTGGGCTGGATGATCTTAAAGGTCTTTTCCAACCTAAACCTAAACGATTCTATGATTCTATGACTGTGCAACATCTGTAAAGCAATTTCTACTTAACACTGAACATCATCTGAAGAGTGCAGCAGGTATGCAGCTTAGCCACTCTTAACCACGTAGTCAGATTGATTTACAGTCTGTGATTTGGTATTTTGCTAGCATTTTATGGTAGTATGGGTCCATGAAAGAACAACAATCTCTGTTAGCAGAATATTTGGTGTTGTTATAGGTGGACATCTCTGATTCATGATGCTGGAGCAAACGAATGCTTTAGTACAACCCCATTGTTAGTTGTCAGTGTGAATGTACATTCATCTTGATATTTCTGAGCCAGTATTTCCAGCAGAAACTGAGGTCTGTATTTGACCATTAAAACCGAGAGCAAAATTGCAAAGGACTACATGGAAGTAGGAAATCAAAGCATGCGGTGATATGTGCAATCATGAAACACTTTCCAGAGTTGTCCATGGCAACTGGAAGTCATAACTTTATGGAATAACAAAAACCTCAATAGACATCTCAATAGAAATATTGGCTTTATGGCAAATGTAATTCGTCTTCCCTCTCCTCACCTAACCTTTTCATGTTCCACAAGCTATAAATTACTGATCTCTTTCTTTCCATTAGAAGATAAGCACCTTATCACCTCTCCTCTTTTCTGACATCCTTATCACTCCACAGGCAGTAATCATCTTTACTCTCAGGTGGTCTAATTGATACATATCTAATTAAAGGCAAAGCATTTTTTCTCAACTTGCATTCAGCTTTGAAGTATGTTGCTTTCATTTCAGACCTGAAGAACAGCTTCGTGTGCCTTGAAGTTCTCCTTTTTCCAACTGTACTAGTTGATCAAATAAAATATACTACCTCTGTCCACAAACTTTGCCTTGCCTGTGTACTAGTGCCTTCATTTATTGTTAGTGAAAAAGAGAAGACAATTTTTCATGGAACCTACATGGAACATACCTAGTTAGAAGGTATGTGTGAGGACTGCAGGTCTTCAAAGCCTTGAAGATTAGGATAAAATGTTTAAATATGATGAGACAAAGAAGAAAAGGGTTCAGCAGAGACTAAGGTAGATAACTGGATTAGCAAGAAAAATAATTTTAGGGCTTATCTCTTAAATGGGGACATTTTGTGTGAAAGACATACCAGAGATGAGAAAGCTGAATATATAGGCAGGAGATAGTGTCAGCATCAAATTGTTTAAAGAGTGTTATTCTACTTATCATTTTAGCGAATGTCTTAGGAACATCTGTGTAGTGAGAGTAGATTCTCCGAAGTTCTACAGGATATAAAGAGAAAGAATGATCATTCTAATAAAAAAAGGCCATCAATTCTCACAAAAGAGAAAGGAGAGGGAGAAACATTATGTGCCTAACACTGAAATTTCTAGGCACCTCGCAGTTGTATAGCCAGCACTTATGCAGAGATTTACTGATTTTTTTTTTCCAAATGCTACAAGGGTCACATTTTCACAATTAATTGATCTGACCCATATGACTCTCGCTAGTTTTATGACAACTGTATCTTTTTTTTTTTTTCCTAGTCCTCTTTTTTGCTAGTTCCAACAAGTTTTAAGAGTGGGTTATGTTCTTCAATGTGAGGAGATGTTTGAAGAAAGGTAATGGGAAAAAAATCCACTATAATTACCTAATTAGATTGGATCTATTTCCTTTTCCTCCAAGGTACCTCCCCGCTCCCTCAAGCACCCTTTTGCCCTTAAAGAACCTGTTTATAAACTTGAGGCATATTTAGTACTTTGGAATTATCAGCTGAAAGGCACTTTTTTGATGCAAATCATTTGATGCAAATTCACTGTTGTAGTGTGTGGCTGGCAAGGAAGTAGGAGGTGTCCTTTCAGCCCCAGGAGAAGGGAAATCCCTGTCCCCTAAGCGAATGATCCTGCAAAATGCAAGTTCTAAATTTTTTACCTTCTTGTGGCCTGCCTGCTGCAGGGGAATAAAATGGGGCTATGTGGAATTCAAAGAACTTCTGTAGGGAGCCCTCCATGATCCTGTTCCTTATCGTTTTGTTTAGTAAGACATGTCTTGTTGGCAGTTGTTAATAAGGTCTGTGATGGTTTGGGGTTTTTTCCCAGCTAATTGCTCTTTTGATTTGGGCTTTTTGGGATTTTTAAAGTCTGTGATAGGATTGCTGTTTATAATATGTAATAACCACAAGAATCTCGTAGAGTTTTCTGAGGTCAGACTGTCACTGTGCTTTTGTTTGCTTATGCTGAGCTAGTACTTGGCAGCTTGTGTAGTAGCTCAGCCATTCTCTAAATTAACAGGTTGTTCTTTGTATTTGAAATGATTGATGTGATTAGCATGTATATGCCTAAATAAATTACTTTGGGGGAGAGAGGGATCCAAAAGGAGAAAACTGGATAGGTCCAAAGACAGTTTGTTATAAGAACCGTGGTATGTTCAAGAATGTGGAAAGGACTTAAGTGAGAAGAATAAAATGTCAGACCAGAAAAATGTGTGGGAAAGTACAATTTTACTCTAAAATCTTTGCTAATGAAGGTTCAAGGATGTACTTTTTGGTTTATTTCTCTGGAGGCAAAAGCCCTGGTGCAGATGCAGACGTACTGAGAAAAAAACCCAACTGTCAGTACAACAATTTATTTTTCTGTGATAGCAATGTTTGGTCAACCCTCCCGGGTTTTGGCTTCCTAAGTAACTTGAGAACCTATAGAAAAAGGATCGTTTAAGTGCTTAAATTCATTTTAATAATATTGCCAAATCACTCATCTCAAACTCCTTTTTCGAAGGACTTACAAGGGTTTTTTTCTTAAGAGCTGGTGCTCCTATTTCTGTGAATCAGCAATAGTTCTCCTGAATCTTTTTGCAGGGCTTTGTTATTTGGCATTGTGTTGGCATGACAGGAGAATCCTGTGTCACACAGGATTTTTAGAGTTCACCTCCTTGTTAAAATCCCCTTGCATGTCAGCACATGGAAGCAGTAGATGAATTGTTTATTTATGCTTAACTTACATACTTACAAGTACAGTCTAAAAATAAAGGACTGGCCTGATTCTTTACATCTGTATGCACACAGTGTTTGGGTTTTTTTCCACAAGTGACACCCTGGACTTAGTAAGATAATGGGAGGACCCTGACTCATAGGTCTAAATGAAGCTGCAAAATACTGGTTTTCGCCCTTGAACTACCTTTTATTTGCACATACTGCTATATCATTGTATGACATTGGCTTTTGAATACACATGTATTACGTAAAGCTAATACATTGTTCTTGATTTTGCTTTGCAGTACAGAATTGGACAGCTGTACATGATAAGCAAGCACAGCCATGAGCAGAGTGACCGAGGTGAAGGTGTGGAAGTGGTGCAGAATGAACCCTATGAAGACCCAAATCATGGCAATGGTCAGCTAACAGAAAAACGGGTCTATCTCAACAGGCAAGTGCAATAAAACTGTTTCTCTCAGCATGAGCTGTAATAAAAATTTGCAAGGAATATCCCTTCCAGCCAATAGGCTTTTTGTTGCCACGAATACATGCCTCTTCCTGGTAGCTGCAGGAAGAAGGAAGGTGGGATAGACCCGTGGCTTGAAATAGAGAGATTAGTTATAATTTCTTCTAGAGTATCTTTTCCAAGTGAAAGAATTATAACTTGAAGTTAAGAATGTACTGAAAATCAGAAATTTTTGTTTTCTTTTACACTTAACTGTTTGTCATTCTGTTTTCCAAAATTATGGGGGGAAAACCAAACAAACTAAAAAGCAAAACCAACAAACACCCCACCCTCCCCAAAAAACCCAAAACCAAACCACTAAAATCATTTAAGGGTTTCTCACTTGATAATAATGTCACAAAGTACTCTGGTTTTGGTGACAAAAGATTTGCCTCAGCAAAGTTAATTGACATTATGAATGACCATTGGGCTTGTACAGTGATGACTTTCTGTACCAAAGTCATAAGCCTAAAGACATGATGGAAAAAATTGCTTTTGTTTCCCAAATGTTCCGTCATTTCTTAAAGTGAAATATGTGTGTCTTCCTATGGTGAAATTATACTGCTGAGGGTCAATGCCTCCACACTCACAGGCTGGAGATGTTTTAAAATACTTTTTTGTGTGTGTCCCCTATGAAATATGTTGCTCAATCTGTTCCCATTTTTACTACTGCTGATCTAATTGAATATCGCTGCTTTTCTGCTGTTCTTCTGTTCCCCTGAGCCTGTTTTGTTTTATTAAACTTATGCTCTGCAGCATTTTGTAGTGGGCATAGAAACACTATAGCTATTGCTTCTACATTGCAAGTTACTCCTCCACTGCAATCCTGACATATCTAACCTTAACTCAGGCTAAATTGAATCACCAGTAATGTTGCATGCACACACGCACAGCCCAATAATATATATATATCTTGCCAACATTTAATGTTATTGTAACTCTCTTCTCTCACAGGCTAGATACAGGACTTGGGAAAAATCAATAAATATATTCCTGTTGTAAAGCTCCCAGAAGTTTGGGGGTTTTATGTTTCTGGATTTTTCTTTCCTTCGTGTTAGAAAGAGATAAGGCTTTAAGCACTGAAGAGCATATTGAGAATTACCACGTTAGGGTCATTCAGAATAATCACAAGAACTGTGTCCAAGAAAGCATGTACAAGACATGCTTGGAAAGCATATAGTTTCTGGTAGTGCAGGCAATGGAACAAAGGATCTCTTATTCCAAGATGGGTACAAACATTGACAAAGAATATCTGTGTGCCTATAACAACTTGGGAAGTTTACTTAAAGCTATGGTGGATGTTTGAAGTCTGGCTCACTGAGTTTAATGATAATTATGAATATTCCTTGATAATCATCACCCGATTTGCTATTTGAATCTGATGTTGGTGTCACAGTACCACCAGATATTGCAGTACTATTAAAGCTTTGTGGAAAGGATCAGCAGGTTTTCAGGCAACTGTAGGTTTTGGTGGGAGGCCAGGATCTCTCTGGAAGCCCTCGCTCAAGGAGACATGCTGCCATACAAGATGTGCTGAAAACTTCTCTGCCTGCCTGCCTTGAGGAACAGGACTCCTTACACCAGCACAGTTCTCTCCCTCATCTTTTCTTCTCCCAGGGCCCACCGCCCTAATAAACTTGCTAGCTTTGCTTCACTTTATTTTGCTCTGGACTGATCTCTTCTGAAGAAATTTGAGCTTTTATATTTCAGTGATGGTTTCTTGGAAAGATTTGTGCATTATTTTAATTCATCTTTTCTTGCCTGCTAATACTTTAATTCTTGCAGAGGGTCTTCTTGCTTACCAGTGGTTTCAGCTGGAATGCCTTTAAGAAACACTTCCTCAACATGTGCTGAAAGACTGAATTTCACCTGGGGAAGGAAGAAATTTAAAAAAAAAAGAGAAAAGAAAGAGAATGTGATCCACAGATACCCGTGCTGCTAAAATAGAAAGATTATATTTTCTTTCTCTGAATGGACCCTTGGAACAATGCATGTGTGTCTGTGTGACTGTCACTTGCTGGCAACTTGGCTGGCAGTGTGTGTTTTGCTCATAAAATTATTTGTTTTGGAGATGTGCTGTACCGGCAGAGATAGGTAGACAGGCAAATATGCTAAAAACAACAATAACAAAAAAAATTGTAAATGAGCAGCTGTATATTAACAAAGACATTACTAGTAAAATTTTCTAGTGTCAGTGTAAGCCTTAGTTATATTCAGAACTGTTTACTGCCTCTTCTCTCCTGCTGGAGCATTGTTTTCAAAAGCTGAAAGTGTGCATCCTCTGATATTTCGTATTTAGGCATCAGAGTAAAGTTTAGCAGGGGTAAGGGAGGGAGCAGAGAGTCATAAAAAGACATTGACAGAGGCTGACAAAATAAACAAAAGATCTGATACAGTGAAGTCTATCACGCAGTATGTCAAATGCTGCTTAAAAGACTGTACACAAGAAAGGTTTATGTAAAGAAAAGAATCTGGTTTTGAGCAACATCATCAAAGAGCAAAAGTCACTTGACTTTGAATCTTTAGATAATGTACTAAAGTCTGCATTTTGCCCCTGGACGAATACAATATTTATGTGTAGCTAGATCATGGTTAAATAAGCCTTAATGATCCAAACTGTATTTTCCTCAGAAATTTGTTAGTACGGCAAGTGAATTTACTTTCTGCACACAGTTATCTAAACATAACTGTTCCAAACATTTACACTTGGAAAGCTGAGGTCTGAAAGCATCTACTTCAGTTCAGTAAAGATTCAGTCTTAGGCTGGGTGATCTGCGCAACACATCACCAGACTAACACGATTTTAACTGAGTCCGTAAAGTACAGTGATATTTGTGGTCTCCAAAGTCTGCCTTCCTTTGAGAGACTTGTACTGCACCTTTGTTCCTGGCAGCTTCGGTGATTACAATAGACGTCATTAAGAAAGGGTTGAAAGATGAGTTCTCATGAACTTGCCTTTTTGAAATGCATGTTTGTTCATCACTTCTTTGGTACCCTGAGTGACCAGAGTTCTGGAAACGAAAGACCCAAGATCCATGGTAAAGAAAATGCTCCCACTTTTCCATGGTATTATTTAATTACCCTTTAATGATCTTTCCGTGTGCTGTATCCACACCTTTCATTCCTTATTCGACTGCTGTTGTACCACCGCATTGGTAAGTTCTCATGACAGACTGAGCTCTGAGCTATGACATCAGTTCCGTTAATTCTCTTCACTTTTGTGATTTACTTTTCCCATAAGCAAAATGGGACTAAGACTACATACCAGTCTCACAGAGGTGTGTTGAGTGATTTGTTAATTTAATATAAACGCTTCCTACTCAAGAGTTGGTGTTGGTAGTATGGGAAAAGCTGCGCGCTAGGCGAGTTGAACGTAGGGGTTCGTGTGCCAGCAGAGAATATGGAGGAAGAAGAAATAGTCTCTAAGAAGAAATAATGGAATCGGGATCGAAGTGGATTTAAATCACATATTTACTGATGACCTCTTGTTAGAGAGTGCCTCCCTGTGGTTAAGAATACTGTGACACAGATACCTTGTATGGGCTGACCTGCTGAGGTCATCCATGACCAAAGGTCTGAGGCCACAAATTCTTGAAATCTGCAACTCCAATTTAAATCTGATCAGCGATTATTGCACTGGCACCATGTTGCTCACTTTGAGAGGGGAACAGACAGACTTGGTTTCATACATGCTTGTGGAGAAAGCTGAGACAGAACGCATAGTCATGAGATGAAAACGCTGTTGCGAAGTCTAGGTATTGCTGTGTCCTGTGAAACACCTGTCAAATTGGGAGCACGTTTGGAAGTATCTGCTTTTCTACAATACTCATAAGTCATAACATACTCTAATTTTATATTTTCTTTTTATTTTCAGCAAACTGCCTAGCTGGGCTAGAGCAGTTGTTCCCAAAATATTTTATGTTACAGAGAAGGCTTGGAATTACTATCCTTATACAATCACAGGTAAGGAATAAAGCAGAAATGGTTACTGACTTGTACGTTTTGGGTAGTTTAGCTTACCTTCAGAAGCTCCGAGTTACATATTGAGCCACAGATGCCCAATTACTTTAACAACTTCCTGTTGAGCTGCATATATTTTTCCATCTTATATTGTCTGATACCAGGAAATAAAGCTTATAGACTATGGATAGGTAAAAACTGGAATGTGGTATCCATGCAATTTCTTTCTTGCAAACAAAACATCAGGTGCTTAGATTCTGTGCTGACTTGTACCCTTGATTGTCCCATAGACTTTAGTCAAATATAAATCAGATTATCTGACACAAATATTTTTATTATTAATGTATGTTTACTGTAAGGATCTTGCATCATTGTTTTATTTCACATTTCTTTTCTTTTTTTCTTTTCCCTCATCATCCTTTTTTTTTACAAATGGACAATTGGAAATCAGAATACACAGTAAGTTTTTCTTCCTCTTTTTATTCTAAAAATAGAATAATTATGTGAAATATAGTAGTGGGATGCAAACTGATTCCTTTTTAATATAACTAATACATAATGAATTCAATAGTGGAACTTTATTTTAGCTATTTAAGAAATTTAAGGTTAAATTTGAAGTGTTTCCGTGGGGATTCTATAAATTATTTACCTTATTTTTTATCACTTCAAAATAATTTGCTACATTTTTAGTCACTGACTATAACAAAGACGCTTCTATAAAACAGGGCAAGGCTTTTAAGGTTCCAGTTATCATGTGGAGACATGAGAACAGATTTTATTTTATTTATTGTTTTATTAACTTATAAAATGCTCATCTCTGGTATAGTATCTGGGAAACTGTACAATCTGTAGACAAAATTAAACATAATCTGGGCATGGTGCCCAGAAAAATCAGCTATTCCCTCTAGCAGAGCTAAGGCAAAATATAGCACATAAATCATGAGAAAAATTGTTTTAACTCTGCTGGCCTCAATAACATACAGTAAGTTTTCAGCAACCTTTGGAAGATGAAGTAGAGATGGTGAGGAAGTTCCAGGTGAAGGGAGCTTTCAGAAACTCCTGCCTTGATTTAGTTTGAAATTCTGACTGTAAATAAAACATAATCCACTTGTTTTTCTTAACTCTGCAGTGCTCAAAATGTTTGTGCAGTTTTTTAAAAACCAGTAAAGAATATGGAGAGGAAAAAGACTTTAATGTAATAAATGTGAAAGAGAAAAAACTAGGGGGATTTAAAGGCTCAGATCTGAAAGCTGGAGACGTAGAGTTGAAACTTTGATGACCCAGTTTGAAAATCCAAAGTACTAAACTGTGCTTTTCAGTATGTACTGTAGATACTTATTACATATTCTGTTTTGTTTCATGTTTAAAATTCATTTGATTGTCAGAGGAAACCCAAATGTCCCATAATGGACAGTAGTAATGAGGGGACAGATTCTCAGCTATTTTTGTCAGAAGATATCTTCAGTAGTGCCTACCACAGTTTACATTAATTAAGGGTTTACCCTTTGATAGCAGGTTTAATCTTAGGCTGGGAAGATGACATGTGCTATGTTGCATTGATGCCTGTTACTTACTCTGTTGTATATTTTTTCTTTAACTGAAAGTCAACTGAAATTTTTTAATGTGATTTTTTTTTTTTCTTTAACTGAAAGAGACAAGTAGGAATGATTAAAGGGGTGGGAGCAGTCAGAAATACATGGCTGAATTTGAAATGCATTATCCAAACCAAACAGCAGCACTGTACTTATAGAATTTGAATCAGGAGGTGATCTTTATCTAATCTGATGAGACAACACCTGGAACACATTTTTGTGAAGGTCTGTAGAAGGTATACAGCTAAAGAAATGTTCAAGAGCATCAGCAAAAATCGCTGCAGAGTTGAAGAGACTTGTAAAGAAAAATTAAATTGGTCTACAAATGTAGAAGGTAGGCAAAACAGTCACTAAGTGACAATATAACTGCTTATGGGAGTTGGGGACTAATTATTCACCATGGTGCAAGGAAACAGAACTAGAAATATTGGGATGAGATTAAGGAAACTGTATTTCAGACAGAAATCTAAAATACACTTTAATGGAGCTGACAGACTATGCAATTGTCTTCAAGGGAAATAGAGAAAGTGCCTTTGCCTCAAACCGTTGAATCTAGAACAAAAATATACCACTGGGAATAATTCCTATCCTTGTCTAGAATATTTCTTTAAATTTTGATCATCTATATTCGTTAGAGAATTCTGAAAGAAAGAATAAACTCACAGACATTGCCCAAAATATGTAAGATAGCTTGAAAACCCTTTTCTTAAAGATAGTAAATTCCCTCCAAAGAGTCTGTGGGACATCCTAAGAATTAAATTGAGCCTCATTTCAAGGAAAAATTATTCTAAAGGCAGGCCAATAATTGGATAAATAAAGCATAATCTTCTCGAGTCAAGTACATACTGCTATGTAGTATGTTCACACCTTGCTTAACCTCGTTAAGTTCCACTCTAAATAAAGAACAAGGACCTTAAAGGCTCAGTAGTGTTCTTTCAGTGTATGTTAGTGATTTGGAAGAGGATGTGAACAACAGACTGAATCTTGCTGATAGTCTTCAGGTTTTTCAGTTGTAAAATACAAAGGCTGTTGAGAAATTGCATTCAAGCACGTACATTAGCATTCAGAGATTCAATGCAGAATAATTTCATCAGTCTGGTTTTCCTGTGAAATATTATGGATTTCATAAATATGACCTTCTTAAGGACCTGAAATTAGGGCATCTAAGAAAAAAAGCTCAGCAGGCATTGAAAACAATTTCCAGAATATTGTTCTCTGCAATGGTAGTATAAAAAGCCAAGAGTGATTGGATGCGTGAAAACAGGAATGAAAGTTAGAGTGTCATGATGTCAGTACTCTATAATCTGGGTCCAGTTATGATGGCATCTGCTTTAAGGAATGGTATTTGTTACACAGCAAACCCCTAAATCTGACAGCAAACAGCAGGAGATGACTGCTTGGTCTACTACCAAGTCTCAACAACCATATTAATAATATGTAAAAGCAAATGACACACTTAAGATAATGAGCTTAACAGAACTATTGCACAAGTGATGCTTTTGTGGTGTGTAATATGGGAAATACTGTAATGTCAAGAGAGCATTTTAAAATGTACACTATGCTGTTTGTGGAGGAGGGCCTCATTAAAACTGCAATACAAAAGACTTCCTATCAGGAAGATGAGACATGGGTAATGTCCCAAGAAATGCTTTATCAAAGCTTGAGCTAATCCTTGCAAGCTTCCTGCTGACATTGAGAGGGAGGAGGAAGTAGAAAAAAATTCTTTCGAAGCTGAAGCCAAAGGAAGTCATCCAGATTTGGGGGTACTATTTAAAGAATAAGATACTCCTGTAAAGTTCAAACCCTTGTTTTAGTGGCTGAGGCATTACTTAAGGACTGTGTGTGAGAAAGTCTCTTAAACTTAGAACTGGAGTTGCTTTGGTTTTGATTTTGTAATAGAAAGCTGACAGGATAGCTTGCTAGAATAAATGTTTAAGTTTTATTTATAAGCTCATTTAATATTGTGATTAGGTTGATGTTAACTCGTAAATTTGGGATACTGTGTTTGGGATGTAGAAGTATAGAAGTAACTATAGAAGTAACTCTTAGGGACTCTGCTCTGTGGTCTTGGGTACTGGTGAGTGCCTCCTGTCAAGCTAAACATGCTATTGGGGAATGGGTGTTGCTCAGAAAGAATTCCTTTGCGAGTCACAGGCTGGAAGCTTTTTCACTGGAGAATGGACGAAAAATGCCTTGCAGCTCTCAACAAACCCTGATGTGCCAGCTTATCACAGCATTTGCAAATATGTATCTTTAGCGTAAAATACTTACGCTATTCTTAGATATGTGGACAAGAATGACTGAACTCTCAGGAGGCTTTCTTATTTTTCTTTCCGAGGTTGTCCAGCTAGATTAGAAATAATTAACTAGAAAGCAAACCTGTCTCTATTGCAAACCAAGCGAAAAAGGATTGCACAGAACTAAGTTTCTTCACCTGCATCAGGATATTGTTAGACAATAAGCAGCACAGAGCAAATATCCATTTGACCTGTTCAAGTGACAGCTCAGATTCTGGACAAAAAGAGAGGAGCCTCAAGCAAACAAATAATCAGATCATGAATGTATGGTGACTCAGCCATGGTACAAAAAATTCAAACGACCAAAGTACACTGAAAATGAGCCTAACGAAGTTTAGCTATCAAGTTGCAGTACAAAGAAGTTAGGAAAAATGCAAACAGGATTTAAGCAATCTCTTCTGACTTTGAAGGCGCAGTTCAGGTGTTTACCAGGGATAATTTCAAATAGTTTTGCTCTCTGATCTGAACAGCTCCAGTGTTGTTAGCAATATTTCAATTTGGGGGCTGAAATTTAAAAACAGCTGGATAATTTTTTATGCATAATCTATGGCCAATTGTTAGTTTCACAATTATAAATATATAAAGCAAAATAAAGATTAAAAATGGCATGTTTTACTCTCTGCAAGGAGGAAGAGCATTCTTTCAACCTGCCAATGTCTCGAATTAATTTAGGAATAGGATATAAATTAAGAATATTTATGGAAAACAGTTATGGAACAGAAAGCAGGAGACAACGATTCCTTTGATGATATATCAGAATGACACTAATTCTTCTACAGCAAATGACTGAGGCAAATAAAATAATTTCATCTGGTATGTGTCAAGGCCCCAGAGTGATAGTTGCTAAATGTTCCATTATTGACCTGCTGGTTTCTGATTACTTTTGAGAACAGGCATATTATGTGCTTCACTTAGCTGCCAGTTTGTCCATGAAGTAAATTATCTGGAAGGAATGTTTTGTAATTGTTATTCTTATAATCAGATGACTTGGGAAGGGAAAAAAATTTGTTTCAGATAAACATTGCAAGGAATCTGTAGAGTTTTTTTCCTGTATTCTCTTTATCTGATTACCAGTGCTTGAAATTTGGATGTAACCCATCAGTCTTGAGTGCACAAACTTTTCTCCAGCTTGAGTATATGAAGAGTCTGCATCAAAAATGCAACAGAATCTGTATTGCAGGATTAGAGCCTAATACAATGTTACTACCAAAATTCCTCCCCTCATCCCCCAACTTAGGAGACAGGCTAACTGGTGACATTGCTCTAGTAGAACACAAATTTGGTTCCTTTAGAGATTCTAGCAAAAGGAAAGACCTCTGTAGTATTTATAAGAAACAAATAATATGTTTTTAGAAAGCTGCAAACCTGTATTCTCATTTAATAGCTTAATCCCATTGAAACAGAGTAAATTGAACTGCTTGGGAGAATTCCCTTTTTCCACCACTGGCTTATGATAAAGCAATCCAAACCCCTCTCTGATTCATGGGACTGTTATTTTCACTTGTGCATGCTGCTTCTCACTTCCATTCTTCCTCAATAAGCAGGTTACTGTTCCCATGTATCAGAGAAG